GACCCGGCAGCTGGCGTGCGCGTGGCTGGGGGGGGTCCGCTCAGACACGGTCCTGGGCTGTGGACCGGCCCGCCCCGGCCCGGGGGCCACTGAGCCGAGCACACTGTGAGGCCGGGCAGGGGCCACTAGAAAGGCGCCTGGCAGCCGGCGAAGAGGCGCACGGGGCCTGTCCCAGCGCTGTCCTCGCAGCACTGGCGCGTGAGCGTCACTCGGGGCGCCCTGGGTTCCGACGGCCGCCGCCCCTTCCTCCTCCGTCTTGCCGGCTCACACGCGTCGACCCTCCCGCGATGGAGGGGACTCCCACATCCACAGTCCGCTTGGGCCCTGCCTCCCGAGCTCGGGACATGGACCGCAGGACGTTCTGCCAGGCTGGCCTCAGACACATCAAATTCGTCCCTGTGCTGCAGCGCTGCAGCTCCTGTGCTTTCTGCTGTCCGCCTGGCCTGGCTGTCACCTCCGGCCACTGCCCCCTCCCTGCTCTGCCACCCCCGCCCCTCCATTTTGCACTAAACCCTACTGATGGCCCTCTGTGCTGACCGGCTCCACAGCCATTCACTGACTGGACGTCCTCCATATCCACCGTCTTCTCTTCCCTTCTCACTCCCGGGGCTTGAGTACCCCATCCTCTCTCGCCCGGACTCCTTGCAGGATCCCCCGGACTGGGCTTCACATGGCCAAGGTTCCCAGTCCACCCCACACTCCTCTGGGGAAGGACCCTCCATGGCCCGCCTGGGCCGCTCACGGCACCTCAGGAAAAAAGCCCCAGGCAGCATAATCTCGACACGACACTGACACAACACTGGGCCCAGACCCGCCTTCCCACCTCCGCTTCGTACTGTCCCCTGGATAAACCAAGCTCTCCAGCACCCCTGGGCCTCAGACACACCTTCGCATCAAGGCTCCTCACGGGGCTCCCCCATGAACACTGGTGTCTGGAGCTGTTCCCCACACAAAGTGTCCCACGCGTCTGCAAAACTCTATCCTCCCCCACCACTCAGCTTCCATAAAGTGTGTGGATGTCCCATCGGCCAAGTCCAGAGTCAATGTGGAAAGGGCTGCCAAGAGCTCAGGCACTGGGGTGGCGTCTCACAGGGGCCCTGGTGCGTCACCTGCCACTGACAAGTCCTGGCCGTGTGACTTCCCGTTGGCACGCCGATAGGGAATTTCTCTCTCAAAGATGGGATGCCTCAAAGGCCATGACATGAGAGTCCTCCCCACAGTGAAGGAGGACAAGAGCCAATCACGACTCGTGACACCCCCAGGCACCTCCAAGAATTTCCTCTGGCCCACCTCCACGCCTCTATGTCCTTTTCCAAAGGCCAACCCGCCTGTTCTCAGCTCCCTTCCCTTTCAGGAAAACCAACCTCAGCCAAGTTCCACAATAAGCATTGACTGCATGCCTCAAACGGTCACTAGGTTGAGTTCCTTTTTCTTTTGTTTTTTTTTTGGGGGGGTTGGAGTCTCACTCTGTCGCCCAGACTGGAGTGCAGCAGCACACCCCTGGCCATGCAGCCTCGACCTGCTGGGCTCCGGCGATCCTTCCGCCTCAGTCTTCCAAGTAGCCGGAACTAGAGGCACACACTACCATGCCCGGCTAATTTCTTATTTATTGTAGAGATGAAGTCTCGTCAAGTTGCCCATGCGGGTCTCAAACCCGTGGGCTCAGGCAATCCACTCCTCTCGGCCTCCCAAAGTGCTAGGATTACAGGCTGAACCACCGAACCCAACCCCTTTTTCTTTTTTTAATTTTTGAGTTGGCGTCTCACTTCGTTGTCCAGGTTGGAGGGCAGTGGCATGACCATGGCTCACCTCAGCCTTGAACTTCTGGGCTCAGGTAATCCCCCTGCCTCAGCCTCCCAAGTCACTGGGACTACAGGCACAGGCCACCACATCCAGCTAATTGATAAATGTCTTTATAGAGAGGAGGACTCACTATGTTGCCCGTACTGGTCTTGAACTCCTGGGCTCAAGCGACTCCCCCCACCTCAGCCTCCCAAAGTGCTGGGATGACAGGTGTGAGCCACCGTGCCCGGCCCCCTATTAGGATGACTTTCAATGTCCCTCCAGTGTGGCTGTGGCTACAAAGGGCTAGGACACATCTATCTTCTTTCACACTTCCTAAGCTGCTTCTCTACCAGGAACCAGAGTGGGCCCTGGGACACAGCCCCGCCCTCAAAGACTCACAACCTAAACGGCTGGGTACCCAACACAGCCAAGGTGCTGGGCAGCCACCAGGGAGCTGGCTGTCAGAAAGCCCAACCACAGACTGCCTTGGGTCTCGGCAGTAATATCAACAGCTCGTATTTACCAAGGACTCACTAGCTGCCAGGCCCCGGGCTAGGTGCACTGTCTCATAAGATCCCTATAATAGCTTTAAGGTGGCTCTAACAGTGAGAGAGGTGAAGTGACCTAAGCTACACCAGCAAGTAGCAGGACCAGGAATTCTCCAAGACTGAAGACACAACTACCCTGCTTCCCAGAATTCTTGACTCTCCTAATTCACGTCAATTACGTTCCATGCTCATTGAGATAGTTAAGAATAAGTCCTCATCTCCAGGCTTCCAGATCCTGACACTAAGCTCTCCTTCCCATGTTCCCAGGAATGGACAGTCTATCATATAATATGGGGTTTAACTTCTAGAAGCTTTTGGCACAGGGTCTCTTTCCCAAAGACCAGGTGACTCCCGAGGTAGGGAACAAGTCTGTCTCGCCTAGCATGACAGAAGCTCGCCAAGATGCTTCAAGGCTTTCCTTGGGGAGTTATAATTTTCAGTAGGGGTCCAGGGAGCCTTGAATCAGCTTCCTAGAGGATGTCAGTGAATGGCTGTGGAGCCACTTAGCATCAGAGCAACGGGAAGCCCTTGGGGTCTGGCTTTGTCCTCTCAAGGTCCTTCGGGAAGGGGGAGTGCAGGACTCGGAGAGAAATCTTGCACCAGGTAGAAGCTGTGTGAGTCTTTCTAGAGCACCAAAGAAACAGGGTCAGTGAAGCCAGAAAGCAAACCCAACAAGAGACTGCGTGACACAGCGCCAATCAGACGGGAACCCCGAGGCAGACGTCCCCGAGAAGCACAGGTGGCACGGCTGCCTTCATGACGCAGCCTCGAGCATCGCAGAGCCTCACTTCTGCCATTCTCTCTGGCTGAAGCCGTCATGAGCCTGCCCAGATTCTAGGGGAGAGGAGCAAGCACCCCACCTCTTGATGGAAGGACCAGGGCTGAACTTAAAGTCGCTTTTTAAACCACCACACCTGACTTCTCTCCAAATGCTGACATCGCCACCATCCAATATAAGGCTGTCACCAACACCACCTGTCCAGCTGCAAGTCTACAGAGAAAGGGAAAACAGTTCCACAGGAAAGCGCCAGGAACATCCGGGCCAGCCCCCAAGCAAGCACCCAAAAGTGGGGCAGGAGCCTAAGGTGCCTAACACCAACTTTGCCAGATCTCATTAACCTCTCAATGGGGTCATCTGTTCAACACATTTGCTAAGCACTTCCTTGCTGTGCTTAAGAGGGCGCCAGGCCTTACGGACAGCAACTCCAAGGGGCTTACAGGTGACAGCGCCAATCCACTAAGACAAGATGTGGGCCTAAGAAGCTCTAGAACCACGAGGCACAGCACCTAGGGTGCCCCAGGCCAGGAGCCTCTAGCCGTGAATTTCCCCTTGCTTCCCAGAAGTGTCTGGGTCTTCTGTGCTGCGGAAGACTTCACATGCTGCAGCCCCTGACAACAGGGCCTTCCTAAGGACAACTGCTCCCTCGGATGGGTAGCACCAAGGACAAGGGTGGCCTCTCCCATTTGGCTAAGTACCTGACGACAAAGACAGGACTGGTTCCTTCTGCCGTGTCACTCTGCACCCATTCCCCGGCCCTTCTGCCACCTCCCTGTCACCCAGCCCTGGAACCCAGCTGCACTTTGAAAACACTCAGAGCAACTAGAGAAATAAAAAAGCAGGACAAACTAAGCCAACAGCCCAAAAGGCATAAAACAGCATCCAAGAAGGGCAGAGACACAGGAGGTGGCCAGAATAGAAGAGGAGAGAGTCTCTCGCAGCCGGGACACAGAGGGGCAGAGAGTGGAAGCAGGGAGTGGCAGGGAGGAGGAACGGAGGCGGAGCATTGAGTAGGAGAGAAGGCAACCGTCACCCTCACCCCAAACACCCATGACCAAACAGGCAGGCTCCTGGCACGAGGCCTTTTATTCCAGCAGCGCTCGGTGGGCTTGGCCTGCCTCCTGCCAGTCCCTGGGAGTGAGACCGGTCTTCCCTGGCAGGCAAGATGCACTTCCTTAGGTGCGCCAGCGGCTCGCCCTCGGTCCGGAGGGAGCTCCCTCCTCTCGGGGCTACCTTTCAGAGGCCAGGCGGCGCACAGAGGCCCTGGGGACGCCCGAATCACACGGTCCACTTCAGACATCTGCAGGCAGAGAAGAAAGCCCAGGCTGAGGACGGAGGTCTGGGGGGCCGCGGGAGGAAGAAGCGGGCGTGGCCCGGGCAGGTCGCAGGCTCACCTGGTCTCCTGGTGGGTCCCCAGACAGCGCACGGTGCAGTACCGGGCGCCACAGCTGACGCAGGTGTACGGGGAGGGGAAGCCGCAGACCGCGCAGAAGGGGCGCTGGGGCCGCGCCGGGGGCCCCGCACAGGCCGTCAGGTAGTTGGGGCCCTCCGCCACGCTCAAGTTCTGCGGAGACGGGAGGCGGGCTCTGAGGCTCCTGCCCCCACCCACGGAGCAGACGCCTGCGGGGACAGGCTCTCCTCCGCGGACCCAGCCCCGTCTCACCTGCTCCTCCAGTAAGGCCTGAAAGTTCTTTCGGAAGCGGAGTTTGAAGTGGTCACCTCGCGTTTTCTTCTTTTTCTTTCCTAGGGGGCAAAGGCAGTCAGTCGCTCGACCCGCCCCAGGAGGGCCCAGCGTTCTCTGGCTCCTGGCTTCCGATGCCCACGTGCCCGGTCCCTGCCGGTGCGCCCCTGGGCTGCAGACCCTCTCCCAGCCCGCGCCCTTCTCCCCGTTTCTCCAGGCCCGGCTGACGGCCATCCCCGCGCCCCCGCACGGAGGCTTCTCCTCGGAGCTGCTTTACTTCACAAGCGCAGGGGGGAGGCGACGCAGACGGGAGAGC